AATAAAGAAATTGAACAGAGTCCAGTCCAGTCTGAAAGCTAAATTTTACCTAACACTAGTCTCAATATAAGTTCTCGTATCCGGTCTCCAAACCCCATCCCCATCATGTACACAAATAAACCCTATCCGTTATCCCTAATGTAGAGGCAGGTTCCTCAATGAGGAATCGGGTCCCGGAATTCTTTTTTTTTTATTTTTAATTAAAATTTTGCTTTGGAAAAATGATTTACTTAAATAGAAAAAAAATATGAATCTAAATTGCTTTAACACTTAGATAATGTCTGTTGAGACTCGGATTGGTCGAACACAAAAAAGTAATTTTGCCCTTGGGCTCTAGAGGTGGGCCGAAGGCTTTGAGGATTCAAAGACTAAGTTCTGAGGTTGAGGACAATAGGCCGAGGCTGATCGTGTACCGAGTTCCGTAGAAGCCGAGGGCTGGTAGCTGAAGTACTGCAAGGCAGAGGATGTTAGAGGCCTCGGGTGAGAACTCGAGGCGAAGACTCTAACGATCAAGTTAGTACGAGGGTACGAAGAGGGGACTTAGGTATAGACGAGGGCTATGAGGAAGCTGCTCGTAGACACTGAATTCCCAAGATGTATTTAAGTTATGTAGTAGGATCAGACTCAAGATCCGGATCCCTCACTTGGAGGAGGGTACCCCTTATTTATACCTGAGGCGCCTGGAGGTTGGTGGAGATGAACGCCTGAGATGGGAGTCATACGGGGCGGTCAGCGAGCTTTGCGGGGACGTGTGGCGCTCTGCGATTGGCTTCGTACAAGGGGTGCAGGGTAGCCCCTGTTGTGGCGAGTCGCGTCCCTGGATCTGACATTCGTGGGCTGAGCCACCCTACATCACTTGCCCCCCACTCCCGAGGCTGAGGTGAAGGATTCGGCTTTGGCTGATGGGAGTAGTAGTGGTGAGCGCCAGTGGGTCTGGCAGCCAAGGTGGACCCTATAGTGGTGTTCTCTTTTGTGTCTCCACCTAGTTCATCTTCATAAGTTGGGCCAAAGTTGCGAGTGATTTGTGGCACTACTGCTTCGGGTAGGTGACTGGGGGCTGTACTCTGAACGGGTCTATGCGTTGGGAGAACACCCCATGCGTAGAACGGCTTTCCGGTCGAACCTGTGTGCGTGCTCATGGGATTGGGTGCAAAAACCGGTGGGTCGTGGTAGGCGGACGTGCTGGTCCACCCCGAGCGTCATTTCGCCTTCCAAGGATGAGTCTTAGGGGTGCGGTGTGGCTGGATCGTAGGTATGGAGGTGTTTCGTGTCCGTTAGATCTAAGACGATCCGAACCGTCACTAGTGCATCGTTTTGCCTTCCGAGGCTGAGCGTTACGTGGCACGCTGTGGTTGGGTCGTAGAGGCGGCGGCTTCTCAACCGTTGGATCTCAAGATATCTGGGTCGTTAGTTCTTCTTTAAATAGGGGCCTTGACGGCAACTTTCTGGTCATTTGCCTCTAAGTGCCTTTGCTCTTGAGTGAACTCAGCTCCCAGATTCTCCAATCTTTCAACATTCCATTTTTACTTCTTTTTCCTCCACTTCCCTTTAGGCAATCTCGAATGATGTCTTTCTTAGATTCTGGACCTGAGTGCTATGATCTTTCGAATGAGTTGGAGGGGAACCCCATCCGAACCCCTTCTCCCCTTTCTCCTTTAAGCCCTTCTGTCCTTGCTCCCCTTCGGTAAGAGGTTGAGGTGCTTCGGGAGAGGGTAGCCTCCAAGGGCGCCGAAGGCAGCCGTCAAGGTGATGACCCTCCCTGTGAGAGCGCCGCATCTGTGATGCCGAGGGAGGCCGAGGGGTCCTCCCAAGTTAAGGGGGTAGAGACCCCAGATCCTATCTCCGGAACGAGGGCTGAGGGTGCTACCCAGATAGCAACCAAGACCGACCTCCTACGCCTAGGGTTTGAAAACTCTCTAGATGGGGATCAAGTTAAGGCTTTGGCAAGGCAATACTTCATACCCTCATCCTATGGTAAGATGGTGCCCAAGGTGGGCATCCGGCTATGGACTCCTAAAGAGGGGAAGATCTACGTTTACCAACACTTCCTCCAGTTCGGTCTTCGATTTCCCCTTCATTTGTTAATCTCTGAACTGTTGAGGGTGTATGGGATCACCTTTAGCCAGATAATGCCCAACGCCGTTAGGACCATAGTGGCGATGCTGGTGGTGACTCAGTTCCACGGAGTGGAATTGATGCCGAAGCTCTATCGAGCGTTGTTTGTGCCGAGGAAGCACTCTTTCGAAAGCGACATGTACTATCTTCAACCCCGTAGGACCAATCCTGTAGATAACCCTTCTTTCGTGCATAACTGTAGAGTACATTTTTCTTTTTGTCCTGTCCCTAGGGCTGGTCCTTCAAGTCGGGGTGGGGAGAGGTTAGCCAAGCTGTGGAGAAGAGTGTCCCCTTGCTCACGAGTGAGGAGAGCAATGATCTCGCTTGGTTTCTCAAACTAGGGAGATTCCGAGCCCAGCCTTTGGTGGAGGAGGAGGTCCCACTAGTCTTTGTGGGGCTCAACCCTAATCCCCTTGGTAGGAGAGGCCATGTAGTCCCTTAACACATTCCCTCGTCCTCTTCTTTGCAATGCGTTACTAAAAGCTTTATTTTGTTTGCAGAGGTGCCGATGGACATTGGGAAGACCCTGATGGACCGTGCTCCGCGATGCATAAGGAGTAGGCAAAAGCGGGGGCAAAATCGCCTCAGAGGCCCTCCGAGGGGACACCAACACCGAAGGAGAAGGTCCTGGCCCCTGCGGAGGGGGTCCTCTCGCTAGGTCCCCGCTAATGGGATAGTTTCACAGGTCCCTGCCAAAGGGACTACTCCATCGGCTCCCACGAAGGGAGCAACTCCACAAGTCCCCACTAAGGGGAAAAGGCCCGTTGAGGAGTGCCAAACGAGGCGTGAGCAACAAGTGCCGCCGAAGTCAACTATTGGGACGTGGAAGCCCGCCTAGGAGACCGAGGCGGGGCAAAAGAGGCCGGTTGAGGAAGCCATGGGGGATCAACCACCACAGAAGGTGGCCCACACCGAGGGCATGTCAGGGGATGCCCCAAGGAGGCCCCATAGGGAACGAATGGGGCTGTTTTCTGCCCCATGCTACTAGAGAAGCTCACCAAATGGTCCAGCCAAATCTTCTACCCCCGGTGGGATGTTCGTGAGGGGGACTCCATCCAGGATGAGGGGGTCAGCCGGGCCCTAGTGAGTGGGGCCCTTCTTTCACGAGATCGCTTCCAGATGCTAGGGAGCGCCCTAGAGAAGATATATAACACGGGGATGCAAAGCCTGGTCGAGGTAACAATTGTTCCTTTCTTTTCATGGTTATTTGCTCCCTCATAGGATATTGATTGTTTGTTTGCTACGAGTTTGCCTCCATTTCATTGGCCTCGAGGATCATTTGAAGTTGACCCTATCCCAAATGGACAAGTTGGAGGAGGAGAAGGGGAAGCTCCAGCAAGCTGCTGCCGCTATTGAGGAGAAATACCATTGGTTCCAGCAGAACCTCATCAATGAGCAGAAGTTCCAGATGGAGGCTCAGGTGCAGGTGAAGGAGGCGTGGGAGAGCCTCTCCAAAGAGAAAATGGAGAGGGCTCATGTCGAAAGTCTCCTCTCCGAGGTTGAGTGGCGTTCCAATCAAGATGAGGGAGATGTTGTCGAGGCGAAGAAGCAGGTTGCCGAGGTAGGGAGAATGGCCAAGGAAGCGGTGAAGCGGGTTGTGTAGGCCAAATAGAGAGCTATTGACGCTGAGAAGAGGGCCCAAGAGGTGGAGAAGCAGGCCGAGGAGATGGCTGATCTCACATCTGGGGCTTACTTGGACGAGATTGAGGATACCAAGAAGGCGCTCGCGGTGTCTCTACTTGACTTCGACGCTGAATCTTTGATGGTGATCCCCGACTCTCCCGAGGGGGCTTTTGATTCTACTCTTCCCTCTCCGATAGGTGGCGAGGCCTAGACCAGGAATTTGTTTTCTTTTTGTTATTGCACATGCGTTCAGCCTTGGGGGCCATGAAAGAATTCTGGTGAAGTCAAATTTTTGAATGTAATGAGAATCGGTGGCATTTTTTGAACCTCATTTCGAGCACTTGTCTTTTGCCGTGTTCTTTTTCCTTTGCTTGTTCTATTGCCTTATTTTTTCATCGAGGGGTCCTTGCTCCCCCCAAGTAAAAAGATCACAACATGAGACACTCTAAGTATTTACTTAGGTGAGGCCGAGGCGAAGCTGCAGCTTGTCTGGCTCTCTTCCTTTACTTTGACTTATTATACGTGTGCCTTAGATGTGTAGCGGAGGGCGGCTGAGGAAGAGCCATACGATCAAAGTGTGACTCATTTGTTCTAATTTCCCTCTAAGTATTCACTTAGGCGAGGCCAAAGTATGATAGGGGGAGGTTGAGGCAAAGCGGGGGCTTGCCTGGATCTCTTCCTCCCATCGGACATTTAGGCAAAGGCAAGATGACCTATCGAGCCGAGGATGGAGCCAAGGCAGAACTGAGGTTTGCCTGGCTCCCGTTTCCCCAAGTGTTGGCCTCGGTGAGTTTACCATAACCACATTTAACAACCAATTAGGGTAGTGTACCTCTCGGATGAAGCCGACATCGAGTAGCTTCCCAACTTCCTCTTCCATGGCCTTCCATCGTTCCAGTGCAAAGTTCCTCTTCTTCTGCTTGACTGGCCTAGAGCTCGGGTCCACATTCAACTTGTGAGTAATGACCGAAAGGTCAATTTCAGGCATGTCAGTAGCGGACCAAGCAAAAACGTCAGCATTAATTCTAAGGAAACTTACCAGTTTGGATAGGCTCTCCGGGGGAAGGTTGGACCTGACGTGGGACTGCTCTTTCGGGCTCATCCTCATCTAGGGGGACTGAGACAAGGTCCTTGGCCGGCGGGCCTTGGCTCGCTGGCTCCTCCCTGAGGTTGAGACCCTCTAGTGGCAAGGTTTCTTTATTCTTGCCCTACAGTGATACCACATAGCACTGGCGGGCGGCATATTGGTCCCCTCAAACAACTCAGACGCTATGCTTGGTGGGGAACATGAGAGCAAGGTGGTAGGAGGAGATGGCCGCCTGGAGCAAGTAAAGAGTTGGTCTTCCCGTGATTGCATTGTAGGGTGAGCCAATCCTCACAACCAGGAACTTTGTCATCCTTGTCGCTTGCTTAGGCTTCATCCCTACTGTGAGGGGTGGGGTGATCTTGCCCTCTAGTCTGACAACGTTGTTGGAGAAGCCAACTAGTGGAACATCTGCTGCCTGAAGGCGCTCTGGTGCTATCCTCATCTTCTCGAAAGCTTCATAGAAGAGGATGTCAGCCGAGGAGCCGCTATCAACGAGAATCCTCTTATCTACGAACTTTGCAATGATGGCTGAAATCACCAAAGCGTCCTCGTGGGGGACTGCAAACCCCTTCAAATCCTCGCTCGTGAAGGAGAGGGTCGCTTTTTGCTTCTGCTTCTTGGGGGTCGGCCCCTGGATGTTTAACTGCCTGGCATAGGCCTTGCGAGCAACGACCGAGGCTCCACCCAAGGCCGTGCTTCCATCTTTGATGCTGGCTACTTGCTGATGCTGCTGCGGTTGCTGTTGAGAGGACGAGGCGCTAGGCTCACCCCCGACGTACTGCTTGAGGTGGCCTCGATGTATGAAGGACTCTATCTCATTCTTGAGATCGAAGCAGTCCTTGGTGTCGTGGCTAGTACCTCGATGAAATTTGTAGTACTTCTTTGGGTTCACCCTTTGGGGATTCTTCTTCAACTTCTTAGGCCACTTCTTGTATTTCTCCTCCCCGATCTTCAACAGAATCTATGTGTGGATGGTGTTGAGTGGTGTGTACTGGTTGTGAGCTAGGGCTAGGGCCGGTGGCTTCCCGCTTCTGTTGTTGTCGTTGTTACGACCGTGGTCTCCATTCTTTCTCTTCTTTTCTAGGGCTCCGTCTTGGTGCTCGGTGCCCTTTTCTTGAACATCCCCAACTAAAGCCTCTTCCATTGTGATATACTTCTAGGCCCTCTCGAGGAACTCCAATTTTGTCTTTGACTGGCATTTTGCGATTGAGCACTTGAGGGCTAAGCCTGGGAGGAGTCCACTGATGGCGGCGTGCATGGAAACCATGGGGTCGAGATCGCAGACCTCAAGCTCTTCCTTCTTGAAGAAGTCAATATACGACCACAATCTTTCTCCTCGCTTCTATTTGACTGTCATCAGTGAGACAACACTCTTCTGGGGGCATCGACTGCTGATGAAGCGGGCGAGGAACATGCTAGAGAACTGCTCCCACGAGTTAATAGACCGAGGTGGAAGGCTTGAGAACCACCATCGAGCAGCTCCCTTGAACGTTTCCTAGAAAGTTCGGCACGTCAAGGCGTCGGAGTATTCGTATAGGATCATGAGTGTCCTAAAGCTTTCCAAGTGGTCGTCCGAGTCTGTATTCCCATCGTACATCTCCATGGTGGAAGCTTTGAAATGCGGAGATAATGGCTTGACAATGATGTCGGGGGAGAAGGCGTCCATCCTCCCCATAGAGTTGCTCTACTCGAACGAGGTGTTAATTCGGCCCTCCTTGACTTGTCGGAGCTCGACTTTGACAGCACTGAGCGCAGTTTGATGAACTGAGGGTTGGGCATCGCCTGTATTCCATCCCGGTCTTTGCGGGCATGGTGAAGGTCGACGCGGACTCCGGAGTGATCCAAGGCTAGACCGTGCGCCTCGCGCGGCGGTCGTTAAGGATGTCTTGGAGGTCTGAGACGTGAGGGGAAGAGGCACGGCATCGGCCCTTGGCCCTAGAATGGGCACTGGGGCAATCGCGACGTCCGCCTTCATCCCTCAAGTTTGCCCTTCGACGCCGGTGATGCAGCTTGGAGGGCGGGTGGCTATCCTCAGATTGTGCAGGTTGCTCCTCCCTTTGGCTAGAAGGTTGGGAGTTCCTGGGATGCAGGCCGACTGGGTGGCTGCTGCCAGACTTGGAGGGTCGGTTAGTTGCACGTGGCCGAGGCTGAGGGCTGGCTAGCTCGTGGATCCATGCCGGTTTGGCTACGTTGACTCCCCGATGGGGCGGTCACCCTAAGGGGGACCTCCTACCTAGGGATAGCTCTGCTAAACTTGATGAGTTAAATACTCTAGGCGATTGAGCACGGCCTGGAGTGACAAGGTTTTGAGTATTCCTAGTTCTTCGTACCATGGTGATTTGAGCTTAGGGACTCCTTATTTTGTCAAAGTTCTTTAGGGGATCGTCTTAACAATGGTTTCTATAGATGGCGCCAATTGTTGATGCTTGGATTGGTCGAGGACAACAAAGTAATTTTTCCCCTGGGCTCTGGAGGTGGGTCGAAAGCTTCGAGGATTTGGAGACAAAGTGCTGAGGTTGAGGTAGTCGGCTGAGGCTGATCATGTACCAAGCTCCTTAGAAGCTGAGGGTTGGTAGCTGAAGTGCTGCAAGGCAGAGGATGTCAGAGGCCTCGGGTGAGAACCCAAGGTGGAGACTCCGATGGTCAAGTTAGTACGAGGGTACGAAGAGGGGAATTAGGTACAAATGAGGGCTCTGAGGAAGCTGCTCGTAGACACTGAATTCCCAAGATGTATTTAAGTTTTGTAGTAGGATCAAACTCAAGATCCGAATCCCTCATCTGGAGGGGTGGTACCCCCTATTTATACCTGAGGCGCCTGGAGGTCGGTGGAGATGAACGCCTGAGATGGGAGCCATACGATGGCGGTTAGCAAGCTTTGTGGGGACACGTGGGTGCTCTACGATTGGTTCCGTACGAGGGGTGCAGGGTAGCCCCTGCTATGGCGAGTCGCGTCCCTGGATCTAGCATTTGTGGGCTGGGCTGGGCCACCCTACATCAATATCAATTTGAGTTGAAATGAATATAAATCTATTTAAGAATATATACACATAATATTTTAAAATATTTAATATGTGTATATTTTAAATTTTAAAATATAAGTGATATTTTAAAATATTTAATATATTATAGTTGGGGTGGATTTCACTCCCCATCCCCATCCCTATCCCTAATTGGGTATATAACTAATCCCTATTTTCATCCTTGTCCCCGCTAGAATAGTCTCCATGTTAGATCCGAAGGAGGCCAAGTTCTAATGGGGATGGGAAAATTGCCATCTTAATCCCAAGTCCAAGCAATATTTTTTGGGTTATATCTAGGTAGTCTATTATTTATCCATCAATATAGAGTTATAAATTAATTAAATCCGTTTAACTTAATTAGATAAATAAATAATCTAGATTACATGAATTAATAATTAATCCAAGTATTTTAACCAATTTAATTAAAATTAGTTAAAGTTAATAATTAATAATAAATATGACTTAATAATCTATTTATACAAAAATATAATTAGTCTTAGTTGTTTAAATTATTGCTATTGGGACACACATAATTAGGGTATAAAGGCTATAACATAAATACAATCTTTATATTGCAATTATAAATTTGTAATTTATATTAGATAAATAATTAATTAATTTATGTAATTTACCTTATAATCTGATTTTAATAAAGTAGATATAAATTAATATAATATCTATATTTCCTTAACTAAATTTCAATAGTGACTAATAATTTGTAATGATTTTCAATAATTATTAATATTGTTGATTAGCAAATAGATTTTCTATTAATTTTACGTAATTAAGTAATAGATTTTCTGTTATTTTTTATTAAGTTTTAATATTGGGATTTGATAATCAATATAATTAATTATTTGTATAGTTAAAAATCACTATATTTAACTAAATTTATTTAATATAATTAGTAATAATAGTTAACTAACAAATATTAAACAAATTATGCTGACCTAATTGTTCCCAACTGGTTTGGGGAAGCCAAAATGGTCTATTTTAGACCAATTATTTAGGTAATGTTTGGCACCGATGGTGATTTCTCCTTGCCAATTATACAAAAATTAGTGATTTTTGGAATCGGTGATTTTTGAAAAATCATTGTTTGGTATCATATTTGCCATGTAAGCTGATTTTTAAGAAATCAGCTTTGAATCTGTTTGATACTGATTTTTAAGGACCAATTATTTTTGTAGTGGAGTTATTGTTGAGTGCCATATTGCATGGCATGTCGTCTTCAAGAAATTGTAATCAGCTAGTTATCCTAAAAAAATCGGAATCACCTATAAAACAGGAAATCACCAAAAAAAAAAAAAAAGGTAATCCCTGAGAGGGTTGATTTCAATAATGATTTTTGGCTGATTTCCTGATATCGCCAAAATCGGCCAACCAAACAGAGAAACTTCAATGCCATAACATGGTAGTGAGTTTCAAGAAATCATCATCCCAAACATCACCTTAGTTGTTTGGGTCAGGTGACTTAAGAATATTGTGCAGACCTGATCCGGATAGCATCACCTCTTTCACCTGTTTTGTAGCTACAGTGTTCTCTCCAACCAGGGGTGTCAATTGGACTGGATTTGGTCCAATCCGCTGTTGGATTTTAATCTCATAAGAGATTAAATCCAATGGGTTTGATTGGTCAATTACATGAGAAATTGCACCTACACACTTGATTGRAAWATTAGYTTTTCTCTTACAAAACCCAGTTTTGAACTTGTCCCACATTGGAAAATTACAAGCTTTGTTTTCAATATTTTAATAGGAGCTGATTTACACTCCTTAGAATTAGTAGAGGAGAGTATGGGGTTCGATACTGCGCAATGCGCGCGCACGCGTGTGCGGCGCAATGAAGCGCTTTAGAGGCGCACTTTGCTTGCACTTTGCGTGGCTCGCGAAGGGCCACTTTGGTTTTGGTGCGATGCTGACCGTTGATCACCATTGATGAGATCAACGGTCATGAATCGATCAGGTGTGGTCAAGAGGTACAATTCGAAATTAACAGTCATTAACTGTTAACTACTTTTTAAACAGTCACAATGCTTGAAATTGTGATTGCTCAAGGTGCTTTCTCTAAACCAGCACCTGCCTTTTCTTCATACCTCTTCATAAACTATTTAAAGACAGTGTCTTTAGACGCGCCTCAGAGCTTCTCCTCCAAAGTTATAGTGACCCCATTTCTTCCAACATCCGCTCCAGTCCAATGTGAGTCCACTATAAATGGATCAGGTCCAATCCAATCTAATGAATATTTTGAACTAATTTGGACTGGTCCAATTAAATGTGACTGTTCAATCTGTTCAAATTCATTTTGATTTAAATTGGTTTCAACCCAAACCCAGTCCATTGACACATATATTCTTATTTTATATCAATGGATCAGATATTGGGTTAATACAACCCAATCCAATATAAATTTGTTACGAACAGACCAGGTCCAATCCAATCTAATAAATGCTTTGGACCGGATTGGTCCAATCCAATGTCTTGTTGGTCCACCCAATTGATTTTGGACTGGACGGGGTCCAATCCAAAACTGGTCTATTGACACCCTTACCAACCAGCAAACACAACAACGTTTGAGGGGAAAAAGTTGGTCCCCTTTTGCAGCAAGATGGCTCATTGATGCTGCAAAATCCCCAAAAGATAGTCTCACGTAAGAAAATTGTCCAAATGATCGACCATAAAATACCGAGATTGATTGGGGAAGGAATGAAGGAGGCATTCTATAAACTCAGGGTTGGGGAAGGGGAGAAAGGAAAGGCCATTGTGGCCATCTTTGTTTTAATATGCAAGTAGTAGGGACCCGTACAATGCTGTCAAGCAAATTTTAAACCAAAGTTGCTATGAAATTCGACATCCAACCCACGTATTAAATAGATTCTTTAATCCATTTTTGTACAAATACCAGATTACTGGTGAATAATTTTTAGTTATTTTCTTTGGCAGCTTTTCTTAAATTATACTAATTTATTAAATATTTTTTGGTTATTTTCTTTAGTAGTTTTTCATAAATTATACTAATTTATGATAATCTTTAGACTTCTAGTCATTACTAGTATTTATGGAAATTTATCATATTTTCCTGATTTTGTAATAACTTCCATTAATTTATGGTACTTTATTAACTCTAGATTTTTTAATTTATTTTTGTGGAAATAATGGTAAAGAATTTTTGGTTATTT